AAAAAAAAAATTTAAAAAAAAAAAAAAAAAAAAAATGAAAGAAAATTGTAACCAAATTAGCGCACCTGTTTAAGGCTAACTTTTTGTGGTATTCCAGGCACAGTAAGATTTCTATTTGGTTTTAAAACATGATTACACGCTACTACCAACTTGGACAATGTTCTTTCTGGCGATAAACTGTGCATATTCATCGCCTGAACTATATCTGGCAACGAACGAGATCGTGTTGTTGTCTCTCGTTGCGGTACACTTACAGGTGACACCGGTTCCTTTGATGCCAGAAGCGCACGTAAACTTGTTGTTCGCCGAAGCGCCAGTTTTCTGTCCTTTTTACGCTGAGGCTGTACAGTTTTTGCCCGAGATGGTCGAACCTTTTTGAAGGATCTTGAGAACGCCAACAAAGCTTCAGCAGTTTCATCGATGGTTCTTGCACGGTGGTGAAAGCGATACGGTGATGGTCGATCAGGACAATTTGTAGTCATTGACATCATAGCTATTTGCTACAGAGCTCAACTCACTGATCTTCAGACAGCAACAACAACACCGACAATGGCGACAACGACGACTACGACGACTACGACGACTACGACGACCAAAAAAAATTTGCTTCTACATCAGCGGCAGTACCGAGAGCAGACCAATAAATATCCAGCGGTTGATGAGCATTGGTCACGGGAAGAAATTTTGGTTGATTTCACCAAAACACTTATATGCAGTACGCAATAAATCTGATTTAAAGATTCCATTTTTTCTTTTTTTTTTTTTTTTTTTTTTAAACCTACATAGCTGTCTTGACCCTAAAATAGTAGTTATAATAAAACGAATACTCATATATACTTCATCTTTACATATATAAATATATATAAAGATGAAGAAGAAATGTAAGTTTTGTAATCAACAAATAAAATCCATGTTACCATTATCTATACGTCTATTTAGAATTTCGACTTTTAAAAGCTGTTTGAAAAAAAAAAAAAAAGAATGAAAACGACAAATGGTTCAACAGCAACAACTAAAAATGACGGCATTATATGATGGAAGATAGAGAAGAAAAAGGGCAATAATTGCACCGTAATAATTGGTAAGAAATATCCACCATCAGCTTAAAATATAAACAAAACCAAAAAATTTGTTTGCTTTGCTTTTTCATCCGCACATTAGCAAAAAAAAAAAAAAAAAAAAAAA